TTTTTTTAGTAAATAGTTTTCTAAAGACAATAGTGTAGGGACAACACAGGATCAAGTTGTACCACCTTTATATTCTCCCATAACAAAACAGTAATTTCCTGAGACTTCAGGTTTAGTAGTTTCTTCCTCTGAGTGGTCAAAATCGCACCACTGCAGAATTTTGTAAAGAAAAAGCGTAACATTATATGGTATGGTACTCGAATAAATTGCAGCAAGATTAGGCTTCCACTCATACTGAATATTTGTCAAAAAATGCGACTAAGCCAAGAAAATTTTATTTAATTTTTGGCACACTTAGTATTCTGTTTTTAACGTTATCCACTTGCTTAAAATGCACGTCTTTGATATTATTCTTGTAAATTTGCTATTATACTTTTGTAGCACATAAGTCTGAGTTATTACATAAAAGTTTCCTACTTTCGCCTAAAACTGTGTTAGGAAAAACCTGGCGAAAGACATAAGCATTTGGAATTCGGTAATGGTACTTTTCTCAAGGAAGAAAATCATAACTTATAACTTCCGAAATTTTGAAAGCTGTTGACTTGGAATTAGAAGGAGGCGTTAAAAAGTATCCTTCTTCAGTAAGAATAACACCTACGGATTATTGAAGAGTTGCATGCAATAGTTACAGAGGCAAGGATGAAGCGTTCAGCGGACTGAAAAAAATATTAAAAACTCAAGAGTTTTACACTCTTTTTTTGCTTTCTCATTTCATAACTCTCTTATCTTTGAGCTAAGGATGCAAAAAAAACTTTTTTGGCGAAGTGGATGAGGTAGAAAATAAAATTTTTTTCTATTTAGAATAGTTTTATTTAATGAAGGATGTCTTTCAGGATAAGCTCTTGCAGCTGAGTATAAACTTAAAATAAGGAATAGTTAAGGATGCAGTGAGATTTAAATTGTCGAAAGCCTTGTACGCAGATGCAGTAGCATTCTTGTGGTTCACCTTTTAACTGATTGTAGGCTACGATGGAAAATTAGAGTGTTACATATTTTTTCTGCGGAGCACTGTTAATGAATAATGTTAAAAATTAGTGTTAATTTAACATCAATTTGACACTCAAGCGTTTGCTTTCTCTCTGTGAAAAGTATGGGAATATAATGCTCCGAAAATTTAGTTATTTTGTCTAAATTAAGATGCTTTAGAGGTCAACTTTTCAGTACTTTTGGGGAAAGTCTGACGGCTGTAGGGCGAGAAAAGTAATGGTAGGAGTGAAATGACTTTTAATTATTGTTTTCGAGAGGTGGCACAGGGAAATTTATAGAGCTAGCTAGTTGGAAATTAGATATGCTGATAGTTCTTCACTACGAAAGGTGTTTTTTCAAAATGTGAATATGGCGGAAAAAAGCGTATCTAGATTATGCTTTTCTTTGTTCAAGTTACTTTAAAAGATTCTGTATTGACTTTAGAAATACAGGTATGCAGCTGTTCGCTATTTGGGCTAATTTCAGTTTTCTATAGGACTTAGTGGTAGCTGGTACTTATTGATAATTACTCGAGCCAAATTTAAGTAATTTTATGAAGAGTTCTGTATTTTTGCTTACTGTTTTTAAATGCAGCTTTTCATAAGGGGAACAATTAGAAATGCTGTAGTTCTCTTCTGGTAAGATAAGGCAGTGTTCCTTGTGTTTCTTCGACAAGGAAGGAACTTTTCACTGAGTTAGGATATTTAATAAGCAAGAGCTCTTCATGAAATAAAAAAAAATCATTTGAAAGTTTTAAGGATGTATGGCCTTTTCCAAACTGTATTCTACTTTGGATATATGGGGTTGTTCAGCGTCGCGTTAGGGCTTATGTGTGGAACTATCGGATATGTTGGGACGGCGAAATTTGTTCACAAAATCTATTCAACTGTGAAAATCGACTAGAACTTTTCGTTAGTAACAGTTGTTGCCCATGTCACTTGTTCTTTGTTTCTGCATATTGCGAGAGATTTCTGTTAGTCGATGGTTGTTTTTTAACTCGGATCAGAACCATCATTTTCAGAAATTAGATGAGATGGTTTAAAAGTTTTTTTTAAAAATTTATTATTCTAGGGCAGAGGATTTACCTGTAGGTATCGTCCTTTCACATGGAAAGAATAGGATGTTGTACTTCTTTGTGCTAAATTAATAGTTCTTTACAGCAGAGGAAGGTAAATCAGGAACGGGTGTTTCTTTGGTACTTGGCTAGAAATACAGAATATCTGAGGTTTTAAGCCACAATGTTTGGTTGATTGTATAGCTTTGTTTAATTTATTTGTTGTTGTGTCGTAGGTATTTAGATGATCCTGATCAGTATCTGGATTGTGATGATTCTTTGTAAAGTCACCAACATTTCTAATTGGAAGCTGGATAATCAAAGATTTATAGCATGATATTTACCAAAATTTCTTCCGAGCTAAGCTGGTTTTTTACTACCTAGATTCCGTTCGTTGTTTCGACACTTCTCTATTTTTCATTTAATTGGGTGATGAAGAAATAAATGGTTTTTTCCTACATTTGCAGTAGTTGGAGCTGTTGTCATTGAATTTTAGGAAGTTAATGCTGAAGGGTTTTAAAATGCTGGTTCTAGCATTGTTCGTTAACTAGGGCTGTTAATTATAGGGAGCCAGGAGATGCGAAACAGGAAAAGCTTTTCGTTGGTGTTAGTACTTATGAGGGTTTCGGTTTGTCGATGTGTGTTTACTGGAACGTTGCTGAGATGGTTTTGCTTTTTTTTTCAAAATTTCTGTGAATGCGGTAGCTCAGGTGCTAATCAGGTGCTAAACGCACGGGAAACAGCCGCTGAATTTTTAGTTTACGTTTTGCTACAGATTTTACCGTACAAAAAAAAAAAGAGTACGACAATATGAACGAGAAAAAAATGGAAGACGAAAAAGACGAGCGGTTTTGTTTTGCTGTGCAACTTCAGCTTTTCCTGCTTTCCTCTGCTATGAGCCGTATTTTCTTGTTACTTCCAGAAGCTTTTGGTCGACAAAAAATTACTTTGCCGCTACCAGGCGCTCGAGTAGAAATTCAGCAGCAGAATGTCAACTCTGTTTATTTTCACTAGAAATTTTCATTGGATTTTAGAACTGCACAAGTGCAACGAAGTGTATGAAACAACTGGTTATTAAAAAAGGAGACTAAAAATAAATTTTCTAAAACTCTATTTTTCCTCATTGATGGTACCATTGTTCCCAAAGCTGTTATTACCGTACTCACAATTAAAAAAACTATTAACTTTTCCTAAGACCTAATCTCCAACTAAAGACAATTACTTCTATTATACTCCTCCTCCAAAAGATTGTCACACATTGTAAGGCCTTGATTTTAGATCGTCGACTTTTAATACAACGCAAAACGTTATTATTGAATGGCCAAACAAACTTTCAAGCTTATGAAAACGAAAAAAGTTCGACCATTCATTAATAGCTTTTTTGTACTGTATTAAAAGTAAACGCTCTGAAAGTTACTGACTGAAAAAGATCCGAACTGTTGCGCAGAAATTATACTGAACTCGACTTAGGAAACATAAACATTCTATCTGTTGTATAAATTAATCTTGGCGGTTATATTTTTGGTTTTGTTTCATCAAACTTTATTGGATCGCAAAAATAAAAAAAATACCAGAATTTAGAGTAAAAAATAGGTCAATAATGAGCCAAAAAAGTCCAGTACGACGGACGATGCTCGTAAGCTTTAGCATCATGTTTCCTAGTACATGTCAACGTCCTCTTGTACAGGTAGAACAGAACAAATATATATCAGCATAAGGAGACCCACTCAAGGCTGAAATGAAAAATTTGTTTTATAATGAAACAACAAACCGGAATCTTCACAAATGCAATGATATAACACAGCGCTTCTTTAACTATTTGAAAAGACTTGAAATTTCATATTGCGAAATGATTTCCTTACTCAAAACACTAGTAGCTAGTAGCGTAAAAAAATCGCTTATTTGAAATATATAAGAAACAGATGAAATAAAGGCTTACCCACAGTACCCTTTCTACCGTATCCCATTGTTGGATCAAATTGAGCATAAGACCCAGAAAGTAGCACAAGGCTTAAAACAAAAAGTAGCAGAATCGATACCAAATGCATTGTTTAAAAAACTGTATTTCCTAAAAAGATTAGTATACAAGGTTACTTTCCCATCGTAAAACGACACCAAAGCAACACTTGGCTTACAAAAGTGAACTTCAAGATGTTACACAGAACAACAGGCTGAAGGAAGTTAGGAGTGAAAATTAAGTGTAAAACAGCAGTTGGTAACAATTATGAGTTAATTTAAATCTGCAAAATTGAAGCATTAAAACAATTCACAAGTGGAAATTAATGTCTATTTTCAGAAAAACAAAATGTAAAAATAGAAGAGAATGTACAAAAGAAGCATAATTAAAATTATTGCTGAAGATTACAAGGAATATAAATCACTGCTTTTACAACCCCCGGCGTAA